ATATCTCTCCTATTTTAGCTTCTCTCAAGTGGCTACCAGTGAACTACAGGATAAAATATAAAACTCTTCTGTATGTTTTTAAAGCAGTGCATGGGTTGGCCCCTGCTTACGTGACTGAGCTCGTTGCTGTTCGTCGAGCACCTAGGTCTCTAAGATCCAATAATAAGTTATTGCTTACTGTCCCTCATACTCATTTAAAGTTAAAAGGGGATCAGGCCTTTGCTGTTGTGGGGCCGAAGCTCTGGAATAGTCTTCCTCAGGAACTTAGAGAAGTCTCATCTTTGAATGTTTTTAAAGTTGAAGTCAAAAACTACTTCTTGTCTTTAGCCTTTGAGAGGGTTGGCTAGTCTTTGTTGTTAGTAGGATCTGTGTTGTTTTAAGTCGTGTGTTTTTAATTTTTATTTTATTGTACAGCACTTTGGTCTGCAGGTGCAGTTGTAAAGTGCTCTATAAATAAAGTGTATGAATGAATGAACTAAAAATCAGTGGTTAAGTTGTATTTACAACTGTAGCGTCTGGACCAATCAAACACACAATATATATTTTGTTAGCTATATTTAACAAATACTCTATAACACACCTCAGTTAACAAGCCATATGAGGACCTACGGACCCTTCCCCCCGAAATGCGTAACACCCCAGGAAGCCGAACAGGCCCCTGGTTCCATGGCAACCAACGTGGATATCACTGGGTTTATTGCCCAGAGGAATGTGAGCAGAGAGACTCTCACTGCGTTTTCCATAGCAAGAGGCACAATGCACAGTAGAAATGGACTTTTCTACTAATTAATTCATAGGAAAACCTTTCTTTGAATGAACAGTGTATCCTTCAGGTCATTGTGTATATTACTGTCATCGTGTATTTTGTCTTTGAGATTGTATATTTGTAGAATTGTACAGTAAGGAAGTTATTTCCCTTAACCAGGAAATTAACGTTCTTAGAATTGACAAGACAGTTGACCCTGAGAGGTCAGCTAAATATCTACAGCGGATCTAAATATTTATAATTAATTATAACTAGTTATGATTAATTATTCATATTTCCCCATGAGCTGATTCGTTACACAACACTGCAACGCAAATATTAGAGTGTGTGCATTTCCGTTACAAGCTTGAGGTATTCGGCCAATCACAACGCACTGGATAGCTGGCCAATCACAGCACACCTCGCTTTTCAGAACGATGAGGTTTGTAAAAATCAACGCGTTTCAGAAAGGCGGGGCATAGAGGAGAAACAATAATGTACAGTATGTGGGAAATAATGTGTTTTTTAACCTTAAACCGCATAAACACATTGCATTACACCAAATACACAAAATAATGTTCTTTTTAGCAACGTCATATGACCCCTTTAATACATACTGTATATATATGCAATACTGAAAATTACTGATAAAAATAGTTAAGCTCGGAGTTTGACAACCTGGATCCCCATTCATTTTCAATTACTGGAAATGATAAAAATGTTGAGAAATTTGGATCTGGTTAGCTTTAGGACAACCATTGTGGGGTTTTCATTGCCAAATATAATGGTGATATAATACACGAAATACAATTTAATGACAGCAAATAAGACAAACACTTATTTCACCCTATATCTACTCACAATTCACAAGCAAAAAGAAAATTAGACCAATGCAAATAATGTCGGAATTGGAAAATAAGGATGCAGGACCATTTCTGTGGATTTGAGAGGTTTGACCTACTGGTTTTGTATTCCTTGGAGAAAAGAACTTTTGTTGTTGTTGCTGTTGGGAGTGGTCTAATCACTCTCCTGGTTTTCAAGATGAGGTCAGAGCAGACAAAACTGGAGAAATGTGGTTTATGTAATAACTCACTCATCTTTGCAAACATACTGTATATATATGCAATACTGAAAATTACTGATAAAAATAGTTAAGCTCGGAGTTTGACAACCTGGATCCCCATTCACTTTCAATTACTGGAAATGATAAAAATGTTGAGCAATTTGGATCTGGTTAGCTTTAGGACAACCATTGTGGGGTTTTCATTGCCAAATATAATGGTGATATAATACACGAAATACAATTTAATGACAGCAAATAAGACAAACACTTATTTCACCCTATATCTACTCACAATTCACAAGCAAAAAGAAAATTAGACCAATGCAAATAATGTCGGAATTGGAAAATAAGGATGCAGGACCATTTCTGTGGATTTGAGAGGTTTGACCTACTGGTTTTGTATTCCTTGGAGAAAAGAACTTTTGTTGTTGTTGCTGTTGGGAGTGGTCTAATCACTCTCCTGGTTTTCAAGATGAGGTCAGAGCAGACAAAACTGGAGAAATGTGGTTTATGTAATAACTCACTCATCTTTGCAAATCACGTGTAATCAGGTTTATGAACCGACATACACTCTAAAAGTGCAACGGAATTCACAGCTACAATAATTTTAATTTTATCATTTGGCAACAGGCCATGCTAATGAGTACTGACTTGCAAAACTGAGCAAGAAAGCAATACACAATACCTAGACCAATATATTGGCCATTGTTGACCATTTTGAGATTATCAACACTGAATGATAACTTGGTTGTATATGTATCATATTAATGTTCTTTTTGCACATTTTGGGTACTTATTGTGCAAAATCAAACACTTCATTTAAAAAAATGTTGTGCATATTTTGCTGTTATTAAATTTTATTTATGTATACATCAGCCACGCTGCACTCTAGATTGGCATTGATCACTCTGTTGCATATCCAGTACATCTGTTTGATCGATCCGGCATTACTCATCAGCTACACTTACGTGTTTTATCGAATACGGTGTAGCCTAATCTATGTAACTTTTCTTTGCACTCTAATTTGGGTGTCTATCAAAGCCAATATTCCCACAGATCTCATCAGATGTACAATATATAGGATTTCCAGAACGCTTTGATCCTGTAGAACAAAGGGGTTCCCATTGCTCAATGACATGCAGATCATTTTTAAGACATGTAATATCTTATATTCACATGCACAATTGCAATGCAAAAACAAGCGCATATGAAGCATTTTGAGTTGAAGTTCATTAAAATGCACGTTTACATACCAACAAGGAAGTCCGATATAGCCAAATTAAGGAAGAAGTAATTGCATTGATTTCTGAGGCTCTTGTCCACGACGAACGCGAGAATAACCAACGCGTTCCCGACCACCACCACGACCACCAGAGTTATCATGAGGATCGCCAGAATTACCATCGTGTACCCTGGGAACGGAGCCCCATCCGAGCTGACGGTCGTGCTGTTGGAGCTAGAGGAATTGAAGCAGTTAACCATTGTCAGATCGAGGACATTTGGAGAACCAGCAACAGGTCTGAATTCATCATGTGAACCTTTTCCCGCTGATGATGATGACAGCAGAGTTTTCATCCCTTTAGGGTTGCGTTAACTCCAGCGCGCGGCGGAATACGCATCCAGTTGGAGTCTCCAAACGCCTGAGGAGTGCGCGCATCTTTGAAGTGTCCAGTGCAATACCAGAGACACATGACGTGAAATGACTCCTTCCTGAGGGGAACTCCAAGTCCTAGCACTGAGACTGAACGCAAAGTTTGTGCTCTACGATTTTCCAACAGAATAGCGCTTTCCCCTTCATGCGCGCACATCAACTGTTGCGCTCTCGCGCCTCCCGTTGGATTGCGCGCTGTCCTCAGACAGATACGAGATGTACGCGGTCCACTTTGCAACTTACCTTTGTGAGGATCTGGTTGAAGTATGATATACAGAATTGCATACAGTGCAATGAACCTGCATTTGTCCAAGTACAGAGAATATTATTTTTTATACAATCACAGTGTGATTATGTATATTGCTCTGCTTGAATAGTTGTTATAAACATATGAATGACCCATGCATTGAGAATCAACATAAATTTACTTAAAAAGCAAAGACAGTATAAGTTGTTTTCAGGTAGTCTATATTGAACATAACTGTGACTGACCCTGAACCACAAAACCAGTCATAGGGAACAATTTTTTTAAATTGAGATTTATACATCATCTGAAAACGGAATCAGTAAGTATTTTATTGCGTTTTATGAATGTTTACACATTTTGAGAAAATAACAAAGATACTCATTATGAATGTGTTTACAATTACCCAAAATTCAAATCATTTACTCATGTCATTTAAATCTATTCCTCTTTCTTCTGCATAACAAATAAGATATTTTGAGAAATGTCTCTGTGTTTTTGCCAATGGGGTCCAATCTCATTTGAACCCCATCAGTCTTCAAAATATCTTCTTTTGTGTTCTGCAGATTAAAGTAAGGCACTTACTAGATCTAGTTTTTGTTATGCTAAAATCCTATGAACCAATTCCCCTTCCCATTCTTTAGGACTGGCTTGAATGATGACAGAAATTCCAACAGGAATCCTGTTAGTGTATTAGTGCTCTGGTACTGTTACAGTGGTTTCAGAACCATGGACAGCAGCTACTGCCATCCACTCAAGGCAAAGCTCAGGCAGCTTTTCTTCTTCAAAGCATTCCTTCCCTACCCAGTGGCTGTGCCTCAACTACATTACATACTATGTCGCCTTTTATGAGGGATGATGAAAAAAAGAGACTAAATTCAAGCATTTAGGGAAAAAAAGAAAATGTTAATGCCTCAATCAGCCGAGTACATGACGTTAAAGGCATGACAAATAAACAACCATGTACAGTACGCCTCCGCTTCCTAAAGGCTGTGTTCTAGGTTTAAAAAATCTTAATTACACTTGCTGTCAGAGATGTGGTCTTCTTTTTCCGCGTGAGTCATTTCCCTACTGACACAAAAGACCGACTTTAGCCCTGTGTGCTCTTCCTCAGCTGTGCACCCGAGCAAGACGTTAGCATACACTTTGCCCCTGCATTTTACACACACGTGCATGACATTGATACTGAAATAATGGTGCATCTGTAAAATCCAATTTAGCGGCACTGCATGGCGCAACTTCCATTAGTTCCAGCAGTTGTGCAGTTAAATTCTGTCTAAAACCCTTTTAAATGTGTCATTCTACTTTGATTATGAAGTGCTAATTAACCCCTGGGCTCTTAACCCAGGATTTCTTGTCTAGGCGCCCCACAGTGATACCAATCACTTCCAAAGAGGGTCACTTGAGAGGCTGGGGAGCGATTCGATTAGCTTAAGTGTGTTGTTAAAACGTGAAACAAATGCTATAAAAGCACGGTGAAACATCTCATTCCCAGAAGAGCTCTCTGCCAAACCTGACACAAGTGTCCAACAAGTTTAAAGACTTAAAAGTCAACATGAGATCAAAACGGGATGCTATTTGATTGATGCATATTATTCTAAAGAATAAAAGCTTTAATTTCACCTTTTTCTCTAGCGAGTTGTGGTATTGAGTGGGTTAAAGCCTTCATAGTCTTGTTTCAGGTTGCTAATGAGCAGGGATTTCAAACATTAAAGCATTTGGACTAAAAACATAGAGGCAGGTGCAAGAAGAAGATAACATGGAAAGAGGCCAAGTGCAATCAAGTTCTTTGTTGTATTATTCTTGCAGCGGAAGCAGAAATCCGCGTATTCCAAAGGCCCAGAGTGAGAGCTAAAGCTCATTTCAACAGGGATCTGCTCTATCACCTTCTAAAGAAGTAGGAGAGACTCTTATGAAACAAGCTTTCGGCTGCACCCTTCTGATGTTTGATCTCCAGAGATGAATTCAGACCCTTATTTAAACAAACAACAACGGCCATCTCCCAATGCCACTTGAGACGATAAAACAACATGAATTACCATTCTGCTGTGTCTTCTTGCTCCTCAAGGCCTCAACGGAGGACAGCTAATGTGCTGATTTGATTTCTCCCACGATTAATATTATTCATTGATACTGTTGTCAGCCAGGATGCAAAAGGGAAGGGTTTCTTATCCACCATGCAAATTAGCCACTTTCATGCAATGCTAATGTTTCTCTCTTGGTGTCTATATTTGGAGGGATATTATCTGGTCAAGTCCAGTTGTGAAGTTCAATATTGCATTTAGTCTCACAGTGGGTTGCATCAAATGGACGATTAGCATGTCGCAAAGTATGGTATTTTCTAATGTACTGTAAATATATTTGTAGTTAAGGTTAGCTTGAATTTTTTCTGACATGGCATTAGCAGTATGTGATAGAGTTGTCCTTTGGGTAAACTCTGCTTGCTGTGGTAGAAAGAATTGTGGAGACATTGGTAAGTTGGCGCATTGATAAGAAGCCAAACAATCCTTGAACAAGTTTTGCCCAGTCAAATCAACAATTAGCATGTTGGAGATACATTTTAGGCTGGCAAAACACAGCACTGCATGTTCAAGTGTACAGTCCATCTATCTGTACCAAAGAAAAAAACTATTCTTTGGCAGAAATGAATCTTCGCATGTCACAATAAAACTCTAAAACAAACAAACTTTTTAGTCAACAAATTGGCAATTTTCATGTCACATATTTGGCTTCGACCATTTTAAAAGTGCCAATGCACAGCATGGCATTGTCTGATCTATTGTGGAGTTATTTCCATCCAAATATAGCGCAATTCCTCACCAGATGTCATTTACACTAACATGAGTCTGTGGCCCAAAGTAAAAGAGATCTGCTGGTTATTGTTCAAATGAGATTCGTTTAGACCGTTGGGTGCATGGTCAAATAAACAGTTAGCATGTTGGTTTAGTCAATTTACAGGATCAACGCACAGCATTACGTTTTCTTTACTGCACAATTATTTGCAAAGAAGCTTGATTCCTCATGAGAAACTATATTAGCCAAGAGTCATCCTTTGGGAAAACAGTTTTCACATTTGCTGGCGTGATTCTGTAGACCCAATAAAGACGTCCATTACCCAGGGCAAAGATGAGCTGCCAGACCTGAGCGAGTTTTGTCCAGTCAAAATCAATGGTTAGCTTGCTGGAGTTATGGTTTAGGCTGCCGAAACGCAGCATAATTATTTGAACCAAAGATTAGCTTGATTGTTCTGCAGAAATCGAAGGTGCAGTTATCCTTGCATATCATAACAAATCTTTTCTACAAGAACTGTTTGGACATCTAATTGCCAATTAGCATATCACAGATCTATTTGTCACTTTAAAAAGAGCATGGTATTGTCTTGAGTAGGAGATATTTCTATCCATATATATATATAGCACAATTCCTTACCAGATGTCATCTACACCAGTGTGATACTGTTGCCCAAAATAAGAGATCTGTTGGTTACAGTTCAGATTTTTGTTCAGACTAATGGGGGGGTCAAATAGACAATTAGCATGTTGCTTTGGTCAACTTAAAAAAAGTATTTACTGATGTACTGCAAAGTTCTTTGCAGAGAAGCTTGATTCCTCGCCAGAAACTATATTAGAGAGTCGTCCTTTGGGGAAACAGTTTTCACATTTGCTGCCATGATTCTGTAGACCAAATAAAAGACGTCCAAAATCAAATCAATGGTTCGCTTGTTGGAGATATGGTTTAGGCTGCCGATTACAATTATTTGAACCAAAAAAGGCGCAGTTATTTGCATACCATAACAGATTTTTTTTTCTCCAAGAACTTTGTACTTTTAATTGCCAATTAGCATGGTCACAGATCTATTTTCGTTACTTTAAAAAGTGTATTTCTATCCATATATAGCGCAATTCCTCACCATCCACACTAATGTGATACTCTGGCCCAAAATAAAAGGGATCTGTTGGGTACAGCTGAGACGAGACGAGACTGTTGGGTAGTCAAATGGACAATTAGCAAGTTACTCAAGGCAAAGATGAGGTGCCCAACAGGCCCTGAGCAAATTATGTCCAGTCAAATCAATGGTTCGCTTGTTGGAGATATGGTTTAGGCTGCCGATTACAATTATTTGAACCAAAAAAGGCGCAGTTATTTGCATACCATAACAGATTTTTTTTTCTCCAAGAACTTTGTACTTTTAATTGCCAATTAGCATGGTCACAGATCTATTTTCGTTACTTTAAAAAGTGTATTTCTATCCATATATAGCGCAATTCCTCACCATCCACACTAATGTGATACTCTGGCCCAAAATAAAAGGGATCTGTTGGGTACAGTTGAGACGAGACGAGACTGTTGGGTAGTCAAATGGACAATTAGCAAGTTGTTTTAGTCAATTTAATGTATCGATGCACAGCACCATTGTTTGCAGAGAAGCTTGACTCCTTGCCAGAAACTATATTAGCTGAGATTCTTTCTTTGGGAAAACAGTTTTCACATTTGCTGCCATGACTCTGTAGACCAAATAAAAGATATTTCAGGGCAAAGATGAGGTGCTAAACAGTTTTGCATGCAAGGCAGATTTAGACTTATACACAGAAAACATGTCACAAGCAAAAGACCACCAAAGCATTTAGCAATGCCCCTTGAGTCGAAGCAAGCAATTGAATCTGAAAGGGTAGGTGCTGACAGTCAAAAGATCCGTTAATATTCATTGAAAGGAAATAGAGTGGGAACACAGGGAGAGAGACCGAGGCAGGCACCAAAGAATAGTCCAGAGAAAAGGGAATAGATGCATGCAGAGAGGATGAAAGTGAGAAGACTACGACTAGCGCTGCAGACAGGAAAGAGGCCAGAATGTCAAAGACCCAAAGGTATTTAAGAAGGAAGAGAGCAAAGATATGTGTGTGCGCCTTAGAGAAAGAGCGGAGACGTCAAAAAGCACTCGAGTACCTTTCCTGGATGACTCATTCCCACAGAAGAATTCACCTGTCGAGAACCATTCTGAGCTCCACAGGTTGAGCAAAGACTTCAAATCATTCAGGGATGCTAGTATGCAAACCAACTAGTTGCTTTCCGAGACACGCCACCAAACCGTCACGCAAGTGCCTGCAATTCCAACTTGGTATTCAGATGGTTCTCCTGTGACCTAGCATCTGCTTATTAGAACATCATGCGCCAAAATGATCAAGTTATTCTCACATGAGCTCATTAAGGACAATTAGCTTGCGAGTCATAGCGCTGCAAACTCACCAGGTGGCGGTGGACTTTGGCCCTGCAAAGTTTGAATGGTAAAATTAGCATGCAATATTCAAAAGGTTAAGTATGAGCGAAAACGCAATATTGGAGAGCGACTCTCCACGTGACTAAATAATAGACGTTTGACAATCGGACATGGGAATGACAATCTCATGCACTTTCAGCATCTGATATTTGCCGTAAAAAGTCTCCTTAAACGGACGTTTTGGTATGACGCTCCTCGAAAAGCTCAAATTGCTTTTGTCAGGCTTTATCAAATTACATTATTAGAGTATCATTAAAACCGGAAAAAGGTTCAAAAGTCGCTGATGAATGTCAGGGGTATTTATTACCGGTTTCACACTCGTTTGTCCTTGTGACTTCAGGCAAGCCTCAAACCCTCATTTGCAAATCAATTTGTAATTCATAAAAATCTTTATTCATAAGACAAAGCACTTAGTGTGACATAATGCGTAGCAACAGACCATTAAACGCAACTGCATACAAAACCATTTTTGGTATGACTTTCAAGTTGTTTAATCCCGACTATAACACTGAATGATTTTACAAATCACTAATACAGCATTTTCAGGTTATTTTATTTGTCAGAATCCTTCAGCATTCGTAGTCGCAAGTCTGTCTTCATTCCAGGTCTCATCGGTTCCAGGAAGGTTTTTTATTTTGCCTTCTTGCCCTTAGGTCTTTTATTCTTGCCTCCAGCTTTGGATGTTTCCTCCTAAAAGGGAAAACATAAAAGACAAGTGATAAGACTGGTGAAAAGAAAAGCAGAAATGAAGATCTTCCTGCTGGAAGAAAGAGAAATCTATAATAATGTCAAAAACATCCGTTCAGTCTTAAATTACTACATTTAATTAGAACAGTGTTAGGCTGTGCTGTCAATAACGGTCTGAAATTAGCGGTCGCAGATGAATGCTCAAAATTTGAGATAAAAACCCAGATCAAGGGGGAAAAGTAGTATGAATGATTTACTCACCCTCAAGCCATCCTAGGTGTATATAACTTTATTCGTTCAGACGAATACAATCAGAGACGTATTAAAAATGTCCAAGCTTTATAATGGCAGTGAATGGGGGCAGAGATTTTGAAGCCCAAAAACTGCGTCCATCCATCCATCCATCCATCATAAAATTACTCCACGTGGCTCATGGGGGTTATTAAAGGCCTTCTGAAGTGAATAATTTAAGAAAAACATCCATATGTAAAACTTCATAAACCGTAATTAGCTTCCGCTAACTGTTGCACGCACATTCACGGAAGAGAATTCTGGTCAGGAATTAGAAGTACAAAACGAGGATTTGTAAAGAAAAACCTCAGAGGATTTCGATATAAGCCAAGAGGAGACTGGTTTTGAGATTTTGAAGCCCAAAAACTGCGTCCATCCATCCATCCATCCATCCATCATAAAATTACTCCACGTGGCTCATGGGGGTTAATAAAGGCCTTCTGAAGTGAATAATTTAAGAAAAACATCCATATGTAAAACTTTATAAACCGTAATTAGCTTCCGCTAACTGTTGCACGCACATTCACGGAAGAGAATTCTGGTCAGGAATTAGAAGTACAAAACGAGGATTTGTAAAGAAAAACCTCAGAGGATTTCGATATAAGCCAAGAGGAGACTGGTTTTGCTTTGCTGTAAACAAAACTTGGTTCTCGCAAGACTAGCATATTCTCACCAGAGTTTGCGCTACATCTACATCCTACGCCATCTCTCGTGAACGTGCGTACGACAGTTAGCGGAAGCTAGAGGTTATGATTTATAACGTTTTACATATGGATATTATTCTTACACAAATGCATCAATTTGCTTCAAGAGGCCTATGACGGATGCATTTTTTGGTCTTCAAAATCTCAACACCCACTCACTGCCATTATAAAGCTTGGAATAGCCAGGACGTTTTTTTGATATAACTCTGATTGTATTTGTCTGAAAGAAGAAAGTCATATACACCTAGGATGTTTTGAGGGTGAGTAAATCATGGGGTAGGCTAATTTTCATTTTTGGGTGAACTAACCCTTTAAGCCTTTGTTGAGCTACATTACAGTGCGGAGCAATATTTTTGCAAAATTTTATTTATTTTTTTATTTGTAAATGATCTGATATTTCATCATTTATTTATCTTGTCATATGGGCACGTCATAAAAAAATGCCAGTGTGGATATGAAGTATCTGTGAGATTAGTTCTCATTGTTTTTGAAGCGAGTGTTGGATGAACGTGAAGCCAACGTGAAGCCAACAACAATTTCCACTCCTTCATAGTCCTGTGAACAATTGCCTGTGAGCATTCAAAGTGTTCATTTGAGAATTGGAATTGAAACCCAATTTGTGCGTTGCTAGCACCATGCCTTATCAATCAGGCAACAAGAAGACTTTTGAGTTAGAACTTTTATCACATATTGCATATTTCTCTGATGCAATATAAAGCAACTGTGTCATAAATAATGTCACGGTCATTTTTTACCAGGAGAGCAGAAGGCTTGTTAAAATTCCTCTGACTGTTTTTTATTATTTAGACTGCGTCTCTAGGGACCCGATGGTGTCCAAATGAGTGTTTGGGAAGGAGTCTGGTTTTATTATTCCACACGTGACGTGCTCGCACCCCGGCTGCTCTGCGCGGCGGTGGTGGTTATTATGCATTTTATGTTAATTACTCTTGAGCCGCAGTGGACAGAATGCGAACAATGAGTCAGCCGGCTCAAACTGCGAAGATAACAACATTCATCGTCACCCTGAAAGAACAGCGTGATGCATCTGAGCCTGAGACATGCACGGCGTCGGGAAATCTATACAAGCTGACGGCTCCAATCAGACAACTAAAACGACAAATTCAACACGCGCTTCGTGAAGAATCACCAATACGCATTACTGAGTTCTTCTTCAAGCCAATATGTGAACGTAAAGAACTACGATATGCATGCAATGCTAAATGGGCTGGAAATGATTGCAGCGAGAAGGACTCTTGAGTTTCTAAATGAGTTTCAATACGGTTAGCATTGCATGGATCATTTATCTCTTGACTAATGCATTTAAGCAGAGTTTTGCCTGTGCATTCACTTTGTGTTACAGTTCTAAAGTGGCATAAAATAAAACTGTAATTAGCCAAATGCTCAAATTGCAGTAATTAGTGTTTTTACAAAAGACCCACTAGTCTTTAACAGGCAGGTTGCTGTAATGGTCTCTTTAGTGGTGCGAGATATTCAAGTAAAAACACATTTTTTTTTTGTATATTTTCTACGTAAACTGCGATACTTTTTTCAGGCTTCTTTGATGAATAAAAAGTTAAAAGGAACAGCATTTATTCAAAATATACATCTTTTCTAACAATATAAAAATTTGCTATCACTTCTTATTCAATTTATCACATCCTTGCTGAATACAAGTTTGAATTTCTTTCAAAAAAGGAAAGAATAAAAATGCACTGACCCCGAACTTTTGAACTGTAGTGTACATTTTTAGAAAATATTTATATTTTAAATAAATGCTCTTCTTTTTTTAACGTTTTATTCATCAAATAATCCTGAAAAAAAGTATCACAGGTTCTAAAAAAATATTAAGCAGCAACAGTTTCCAGCACTGATAATAAATCAGCATATTATTATGATTTTTGAAGGATCATGTGACACTGAAGACTGGAGTAATGATGCTGAAAATTCAGCTGCGCATCACAGAAATAAATTACAGTTTAATGTATATTAAAATAAAAAATGTTATTTGACATCATAATAATATTTCACACTATTACATTTTTTCCTGTATTTTTGATCAAATAAATGCAGCTTTGATGAGCAGAAGAAACTCCTGTAAAAACATTAACTTTATTTTAATTCATATTTATTATATATTTCTTAATGTTTAATCAGTAATTATTTGAATTACTTATATATATATATATATATATAATTAATAATAGTCAATTATTAAATTATATATTTAAATGAATACACAAATCTAAGCATTCTGTCCACATCAGCAAAATAAAAAATTTATTATTTTAAGTAATATTTATTTTACATAAATATAAATTTTTTGTGGACTTAATATTTATGCATGTATCTATATTTAATTATCAAATAATATACATAAATAAGATATATTTAGATACATGTAATACATATTTAAATATACAAAAATCTATAATTAAATAAATATAAGCATTTTGTCTACATCAGCAGAAGAAATGCAGAAATTTGACAAGCATCATGAAATACACGGGACACAAGCCTTTAAGCTGAATTATTCATAAACAGTCTTGGGTCTTACTGAAGTGTCGGTGTAACCCTCCTGAATGAGGATGTTCCTGGCGCAGTTGTTGATGTGTTTAAAGCGGTCGGGGCCCAGCAGGATCCCACCGTACCACCGAGAGACCACCACCAGCACGTTACGCACATCCAGGATCTGCGCAGAAGCCAAAGAAAACACATTTCAACATTTCGGAGGCAAACTCTGACTGCCGTTTGCCGCAGGATTATAATGTTGACGGCGTGCTGCTCACACAACCCCTCCAATACAGCGCCACATTTCTCATCTAGATGTAAACCAACAGTCTGAAACATCAGATGAGAGTCAATCCTGGCTTTAGCTATACACAATACACAACTTCTTAATGCAAAACGTGCTTTTTATGAATTCTTTTAAACAGTAAAACATTCGATGACGCGCCACTGATTCACAAACGTTTCTGCACAGCCCGTCAGCCCATGTTTGGGAAAGGAGTCGCTTCAAAGGCGCAGAAGAGTCTAAATATGCTCGTTGTGAAGAATGACAGCCCTCAAGTGTCTTTACAGTGCTGGCTTGTGTTTTTTCCCGCAGCGCGGCGGCGAGGGAAATCTCAGCCATCTGCACACGCCACCTCTATTAATAGTCGTTTCTCTTTCAAAACATGCCGTCAGATTCACAAAACAGCAAATAGTGGGACAAACGCCAATCGGCTAAATGAGCTCATGTGCACGGCTGTTAGTGTCCGCTGGTGTATTTTCATTCATGCACCAAGAAAGAGGTCAACAAACGGGCCATATTCTAGTTTTTTTATAGCATTTTTTTCATAACCAGGAGTCACAAATTATGCACACATATCAATGAATCCATTTGTGTAAATAAAATACACACATAGTATGTAAAAATAAAAAACGAATGCAATCGGATACAACAGTAATGTCTCAAATAAATTGATAAATTGAACATTGACTTCTGATTTCCGATTGAACTGCAGCTCAAACCATTTCAAATATAGTGAATTAAGCTACAAATGCGATCATAAAGCACAATGTTTCCATCTAACATGTATTTTGAGCTGCAGATCGTCATATTAACGGAGTGTTTCACTAGTTAGCAGTAAACCGGTTACTTTCACCTATGTTTGTTTATTAGTGTTGAATGTTATCTTTGGAATGGAAAATTGACAGTGTCGTGTAAACGAACCGAATCAATTGAGTGAGTCATTTATGCTGGAACCGCTCCGATTGATTCAAACTCGTGACTTCCATCATTCAGTTCAAGCAATTCACTAACAAAAAAACAGATCAAAACAGCATTTCATTTTCGGATGTCGACATCGCTTGGAATGATTTTAAAAAGCACGTAGTGATGGGTGAAACGAATCACATTCACTCAGATAATAATGTTCCTGCTTCTGAAGTAACTGTACACTCTAAAAAATGCTGGGTTAAATATAACCCAGCGGTTGGGTTGTTTTGACCCAACCGCTGGGTCAAAACAACCCAACAGTTGGGTCAAAACAACCCAGTAGCTGGGTCAAAACAACCCAACAGCTGGGTCAAAACAACCCAACAGTTGGGTCAAAACAACCCGACCGCTGGGTCAAAACAACCCGACCGCTGGGTCAAAACAACCCGACCGCTGGGTCAAAACAACCCGACCGCTGGGTCAAAACAACCCGACCGCTGGGTCAAAACAACCCGACCGCTGGGTCAAAACAACCCAACCGCTGGGTCAAAACAACCCAACCGCTGGGTCAAAACAACCCAACCGCTGGGTCAAAACAACCCAACCGCTGGGTCAAAACAACCCAACAGTTGGGTCAAAACAACCCAGTAGCTGGGTCAAAACAACCTTTTGGTTGTTTTGGTCAGGTCTAAATGAAAGTGGGTAGAGATTACAGTGTCATGTCATATTTCACACCGGAGGGTGTTGACGCCGGCGCTCCGAGGCCTTTTAATCAGAGAACAGGAGATAAGCACGAAGATTATGGATGAATGACACATCTGCGTGCAAATATCTGACACTGCAAGAAAGGAATTGGGATCAGGATAGGAGGAGGGACGATAATCCCAGCAGCATATCAACAAGATGCCTGAAATGTGCCATTGACGCTTGACACGTGCACAGCTTGCTTCAAACCACAGAGTAAAGACAATGATGCATTTAGCTTTTTGTAAATAAAATAATTTACAAAAAAGCTCTAAGTATTAGAATTGTCAAGCTATTGTTCGCACATCAGTTTGAGCTGAGAAATCCCAAAAGATCATTTAAAGTCATTATTGTGTTAGATGAGTAAAGCACTGAATTGACATGACAAAAATGCAGCTTTAGAAATAAAAACATTTTACTTCAATGTTGCATAAATAATGATAACAAGTGTTCTATTAAAGAATATTGAAATATGAAATGATACTCTAAATATGAAACTAAAAGCACAAGTCACTGTCTTAATGAGTGAGTCATTGAATCATTCACGCAACCGTTTCATTTCGAATGGCTGTTTTTTTTATTCAGAAACGAAGCAAGAATCTTTATGAATGAATCACTAATGGATTCATTTAGTAATGAATCACTGCTGTGTGTTGTTCGGACCTGCACAACAGTTCTGCTGTATAGCTTTGATTGGAACGATTTTTGTTTGCGAATGAGCAAAACGGATGATATTGACATCAACCGTTTCATTTCGAATGGCTGTTTTTTGTATTCAGAAACGAAGCAAGAATCTTTATGAATGAATCACTAATGGATTCATTTAGTAATGAATCACTGCTGTGTGTTGTTCGGACCTGCACAACAGTTCTGCAAGCTTTGATTGGAACGATTTTTGTTTGCGAATGAGCAAAACGGATGATATTGACAGTATTGTGTTTAAAACTGAACACAATATTAACTTCACTGTAAAAAGTGTTAACCGGCAAGTGTTACTTTAAATAGCTATTTCTATTTGTTTTAACTTATTAAAATTAGTTTTGCTAGTATAAATTAATGTATTTAGTTGATTCAGTGATGCTAAACAATATATTTGATTTAAATAATTAATGCACAAATTAACGCATAAAAATTCAAAAATAATTTAATTTCAATTTCAAATAAAAAAAATTGCAATCATAAAAAAAATTGCAATCAAATAAAAAAATACATATATATATATATATATTAATAAATAATAATTTTTATTTGTAAAATTTTTTCCAAACTTGACAGTCCATGTTATGATGCGCTTTAAAGGACAGCATGAACTTTCAGAAATTCTCCAGAAGAAAGTCATAAATTATGACAAAATGTACCCAGCAGACAATAGAATATACAGACTCAAAAACCCATGATCCAAATACAAGAAAATCACCATATCGTGAATGACATCCACTAGCCAATATTTCAGATGATTACCTGACTCAAACTCACATTTACCTGCAAGAGATGGAGCAGTCGGCCCCCCGCTGCGGTTTCTCCGTCGTCCTCGCAGTCCTGCAGGAAAGAGTTTTTATCCTCACAGTAGATCCTGATGAAAACATGAAGGCATTGTTAAGTAAACATAAAAAAAAATAATCACAGCTCTTTGCCCTGCGGACCCTCAGGGGCCACTTTTACAAAAACTGCCCATCACGACGGCAGCGTCTTGCTCTCGCATTACGCCGCTTCTGGGGTTTTTTAGTCGTGGGTGTATTTCAGAGCAAAATTGGACAAGGATTTGGATGTGGCGTAATATCAGGCACAGGGAGGAGTGTGGGAAATCGGGACGCCCCGCTGAGGGTTTTTCGGTGTTGAGCGCACAAGGTCCATCATTTGGGGAATAGTTGTTGGGAATGAAAGGCAGCAGCAGATGAGCACAGTGTTGACAGTCATTTTGCTAACAGCCAAGAGACGCGACGCTGCCCAGAGAGACCTTTCAGCACATATGGCTCCTCGTGTGTGTCAGAGACGGGAGTTTGAACGCTTTCTTTGGGTATCTGGTGTGAACAATGTGGCCAGTCGGTGCTAAATCACAAAGTGCACGGTTCAAAGTTTTGATAAAACAACAAGACCTCACCAGATCAAATGTAACCGTTAAAGAAGAAGAAAAAGATGGTTTAATGGTTTCTAAGGTTGTCCAAGTGGTTTTGACATTGGATTCATCATTAGCACAAATAATGTGGGACATGTTAAACAAGATTAGCGGTTTGTTTAAAAGTAGCATGCAGTTTTGTTGTATATTACCGGTTAAAAGTCTGGAATAATAAAAAAATTTTCATGTTTTTGAAAGAAGTGTCTTCTGCTCACTACATTTAATCAAAATTACAGTAAAAACGGTAGTATTGTGAAATATTTTTACAATTTAAAATAGCTGTTTTCTATGTGAATCTATGTAAAAATGAGTGCTGTCAAACGATTAATCGCGATTAAATCACATCCAAAATAAAAGTTTGTTTACATAATATATGTGTGCGTACTGTGTATATTTATATAAATACACACACATGCATGTATATAATTAAGAAAAATTTTATATTTGTATATTAAATATATTTATATAATACAAATTATGTAAATATAAATAAATACATGTAAATGCAATTCTCTAAATATATACTGTATGAGTGTGTGTGTGTATTTATATATATATAATTAATATACACAGCACACACACATATATATTATGTAAACAAAAACTTTTATTTTGGTTTATTAATCGTTTGACAGCACTAATAATAATGTAATTTATTTCTGTGATGCAGCTCTGAATTTTGCGCATCATTACTCCAGTCTGATTAATCGCGATTAATCGTTTGACAGCACTAATAATAATGTAATTTATTTCTGTGATGCAGCTCTGAATTTTGCGCATCATTACTCCAGTCTTCAGTGTCACATGATCTTCAGTTTTCTGCTTTTTTGTGGAAACTGTGATACATTTTATTTTTCAGGATTATTTTATGAATAGAAAGTTCAAAGGAACATCATTTATTTGAAATACAAATCTTTTGTAACATTATAAATGTCTTTACTGTCACTTTTGATCAGTTTAGTGCAACGAAAAAGAAATCATACTTCGTCCAAACTTGTGAATGGTTTTATATCTCAAAAATATTCAGCAGCACAACTGTTTTCAACACTGATAATAATCAGGAATGTTTCTTGAGCAGCAAATCAGCATATTAGAATGATTTCTGAAGATCATGTGACACTGAAGACTGGAGTAATGATGCTGAAAATTCAGCTGCGCATCACAGAAATAAATTAGATTTTAAAATATATTCACATAGAAAACAGTGATTTTAAATTGTAATAGTATTTCACATTTTAACTTTATTTTGATTAAATAAATACAGCCTTGGTCAGCAGAAGAGACCTTAAAAATATTTATACATTTGAAATATTCCTAACTTTCAACATAACAGACATGGTACTTTACAGACCATCTGATCAAAATATTCTGCCGCAAGCCATTAATAAAGAACTGTTTTTTATTTTTCCCCAGCCTTTTCTAATGAAATAATACTCAAAAAATGAAACTAAAACTGCCAGCCTTTCATTCGATTCGTTCAAACGGCTGATTCATTCAGGATTTCCGTAAACGGCTCACTTCATGAATGGGGCTTTGAATCATTGATTCACCCGATTCGTTCAAAACGCGGATTCATTCAGAAACTAAACACCGCTGTGTTGCTCGGAGACGCACAACAGTTCTGCTGTGGCTTTATAGGTAATATTTTTGTTGGCAAAATTGAGCAAAAACAGACAATATCGTGTTTAAAATACAACACAATATCAACATTATTTACTGAATTGTTGTGTAACATCGCTTTTGCGGTGCACTCAAACAGCACTGGTGTGTTGCTTATGTGATATAAATATGAGACAATAACTCATACAGGAGCATTTTTGCACCAATATCTTGAATTTTAGGGCATAATTGCATTTGTGGAGTTGTTTCTCTGCATCATATTTGTCAACAGTCAACTGTATGAAATGTAAGATGACGTACAGGTCTGGGGGGTGGGGCCAGTGCGTTAAGTTAAAATATTTTAATCGCGTTATTTTTTCATAACTAATTAAGTTAACATGTTAAACTGACAGCCTTATTAAATTCTAATGAAAACACCAGCTTTCTTTCGAGGTTTTGTGTGGCTGTGAGGGTTGTGCTCCGGCTCTCCTCATTGGCCAGAGGCTTCAGAAATATGCTGAATGTCAATATCACCTGCGGTTTAATCTCAGCCACTCCACCTCTACTGTATGTCACTGATCATGTCCTGAAGAAACCCCGCTGCTGCGCTCGCTTTAAACACACACACGTCCCGCACTGATGTTACAGTCTTCATGTCAATGCATAAACCTAAATGCATCAATAACTGAAATACTGGCTGAAATCTAATAACGTACTAAGAAAAAACTTCCCCTAGCAATTGCTGAATGCAGAACAGGGTTATTATAGCCAATTAAAACTAAAAAAGGAAACTTTATTACTTTAAAAAAACGTTAACTGGAATAAAATCTAATATATAAAAACTTATTTTATTTAAGCTGGTTGCAAAGGCAGCATTTCGTATTTTCATTTAGTTGAAGTACTAAAATAAACAAAGTAAAACGATAATTAATAAAAAAAACAATATAACATTTAAAAAAACAACTAAAAGATACACAACAAAACAGTTAAAACTTTAGCTAAAATTAAAATAAAAGTAGAAAATAAAATCTCATTCAAAATATTAACAATTTATAATATCTGTAAATCTGATTGAATTTAAACGGTTGAATTTATCTTGTTAGTGATAAAAACATCTCAAAATCCTTAGAACAAGATGCATTTACTTTTAAGAAATCCCATAAGATATTAATTTTCAGAGAACGTATCTTGAATTAAGTTTATTTTTCTTGTTTTAAATGTAAACCTCAAACAATTTAGTAAAATGTACACTTTAATACCTTTTCTATCAGTATGCAAATACTACAGTGAGCATTTACTAATGCAACTCAATGGGAGATTACTTTCATTTAATATCTTAAAAAGTAGCTAGAAAAATGTACATCTATGGTAGAAATAAAGCAAAATTATGTACAAAGGACTGAATGGAATTTATATTTAATATATAAATATTACTGTTTGCCTAACAACTGCAAATCTTTATAATGAATTAAAAACTGAAATACCTGTATGCATAGATATTGTGAGTGGCACTTGCGATCTTCTTGTTTTCATATAAATGATTCAGAACCCTTTGAACCTGCAAGTAAATAAATAAATAAATATAAACCAAAACATGGAAACCTATGTGCATACCAAACCAGATACTGTTCCAACATACCTGCCGTCAAACTATAAAAAAATATGTGAATAACTAAAACTGCTGGAAAGCGGCTGCAAGCAACAGAACATTTCACAGTGATGCAACACGACTGCCAACACATGAACAAGCACACATACACCAGCACAGGCTTATTTCTCCGTTCAAAGGACTGCAGGCTGGTTTAAAACCTAATCTGGAGAATGTATGTGTTAGATGGGTGTGCGCATAACATATTGACGCTAATAAAACACTATTTCAAATGACACGAGCAGACTTGAAGCGCAACTTATTACTGCGACGCCGACCAATTCCTGCCACAACAGGTTCGGCCGTAAACAACTCGTGGCTGAATCTGAGCATATGGTACGACTATGAAATATTTATTTAAATACAGCAACCTAAAACTCACAACCTAGAATTATATAGAAATACAAGCCTGTTTCATGCAAGATAAATAATACATTTATTCACATATGGGCACAGCCGAAAGCATTTCAATTTAAATAGTTGGCGCAATTGTTGCAATCAGTAGACAAATGTGTATGCAAGCAACATATGCCCTGCAAGCAAAAAGCTGATTCACTGTTAAAAAAAAGATTTTAAGTTGCAAAAAATAAAATAAATTTTTTTTTTTATGAGAAATTACTATTTTTTAGTTTTTCTACTTCAGAATTCCATGTTTGATTTAATGTGTTACTTATATTTACTGTGAAATTTACTAGCAATTTGAGAGTGAAAATCTGTTCTACACCAGTAGATGGCATTTGTACTCGACTACTTGATATCCAGCACTATAATTGGTTGGCCTTTTTATTTTAGCCCTGAGGCGAGAGGCCCCGCCCACTGTGAAATCTGATTGGTTCACAATCAAGCTACTCATGTATATTAAAAACATGGATGAAGAAAGATTGATTGCAGGAAATGGGAAACATCATTTAGCACATTGGACTATAACCGGACGCCATATCAGAGTCAAAGTCTATATTCATGACAGACGCAAGAATACAATTTTAAATAGTCTTAATAACAATACTTTAATTAATTGTATGAAATAATTGAACAATGTTATGTTTGCAAACAAACAAAATAATTAAAAAAAAGAATTAAATACAAACTTTCAAATTTATGTTTGATAAAAATTCTAATATTTCCCAAGAGAAACCTTTTTTTAAATTAGTCTATTAATGCACTTTCTGATTAAAACCGTTTCCTAGTATAATTTAAAGCGGGACACTCTAATAAAATGTTTTACAGCCAAGGAAGAGACTTACAAAAATCACAAAGGCACATCTTCTCCTTTCAATAAATATACATGCGTAGCTCGTGTGAGCAATTCTAGATCTCCGTCTGGGGAAGCATCAATTACGATACGCATTTTTAGTTTTATGCGCAAACATTTCTGCTCTGATTGCCTGATTTTGGCCATCCAGCGTGTACCAAAAACTGGAATATTGCTGGGTGTTATTAAGCCAAATCTGGGCTTTGTTTTACAAAATGCTCCCAGATCTAACACTACACAAGACCGTGAGTTCAACAGAGAAAGAGAATTATATTTAATTCACCATAAACGCCGTATGTCAACAACTTTGCTTAGAAATCGTCAGTGACGGACAGGTTTAGGTGCTTACGAAAGACGCGACATATCCCTGATGCAATGCAGGAAAAAACGCACTCACACAACGTTCACAGCGGCTCTGGGTTTTCCTGGATTTACAGGCAATATCTGGCTTTGCTAAAAGAACCATCTGGGTGAGAGCGACCAATATGGAGTGTAAATCTGTTTTGTACACAACACCAAGGACTTCAAATATTGCTGTAAGACTCTTGGGAAGGACTCTGCCAGTTGTTTCTGTCCATCAAAATGGGTTTCAGCCTATTTGCGCTGAGTGTCCCTCCATTATTTACCAAGAAAGAGAGTCAAAAATAGGTCCGGAGTGCTTGCTCGTACTGCAGAGTTGGACCTTATTGAAGCCAAAGACAAATGCAAGCATCTTCTCGACTGCGATTTCATTCACGAGTCGAGAAAAACAGCAAGCTTGATGCTAATGAATATGTACGGCGGCGCGCTCCCCTAAAGAAAGAGTCGTCACGAAATGGAGCCCCTATCAGTGCGATTCATCCGTTTTCTCTCCAGCTAATACTCTCGTCGTAAACACCTGTGTCGGGCTGAGGCTAATGAGATATCTTTTGAATGCTGTGTGCAAATGTTGCCTTTTTTATCAGTGCTGATCTAAAGCAAATAGCAGGAAACACAAAGCTGCATCCTCTAAAACGTAAAAACCCCCTTGATATTTCCTCGGAGGCTGCTTTGGGTTTTGTGTCGGGCCATTGTGAAAACGTCTTTGTGTGGAACGGAAATCTAATTAAATGTTTTGAGCTCTATAGCTTGTGAAGATGCTGAACACAAACAGGTGCGTGCTCCCGCCAGAGTCTGGCGTCTTGGGTTCGTAGACAAACTTCTGTCAACACTAACCTTTTATGAACCGCTTTTAGTTAGATTTACAACTTGATTTTCTGTTATAAAGCAGCTCTCCAGGTTGGAGCTAGCTAATGATAAATTATTTTTATTAGTGGCTAAAAACAAATATTTAATTAAAGTGATAGTTTGGTTTGCAAAGATCAAAGCTTGATCTAGCTCAGGACTGTTTTGATAATCATAATTTAAAAAAGGTATTTTAAGAGAGATTATGTTGTGAATAAAATAGTCCATCCAAAAATAAAACATCTTATCACTTAACCTTTATTTATTTTCTTATCCATATAACTTACAAAAGGAGATGTTAGGCAGAATGTGTCATTCAGTTACTTTTTCATATAGCTAATTAAATGGTGAATGAGAGTTTCTCTGTCATCTCATTTTGTGTGCCAAATATATTTATTTGTATAAATTAATTGTAATTACATATGATTTTCAAAAGCTAAAGTGATTACCTTTATTTATTTGTTAGAATATGTATAACTTAATATTTTAACTAATTGCAAAAGCGGAATAATCAAAGTCTGATTAATCAGTGAAACAATCGACAATTAGTTAATTAATCATTCTAATAATCGTTAGATTGATCGATTATCAAAATAATAATTTGTTGCAGCCCTACAGATTTGAAAACTCTAGGCATATTGTACTTAATAATAGTTACAGAGGAAAAACTGGATCACACACTACCAGACTTTAATTTGTTCCCAACACAACAAAGTCATGCAGAAACACATGACAAAAAAAAAAAAAAAAAAAGGGTTTTAAAGGGGTCATAAGATATTCTTTATAAAAGTTAAGAGTCAGCCACACCTACCTAAAACGCCTCGTTCTAACACGCCCCCACATACCTACGTCACGATGTGGGAAGATTTGCATAACACCGCCCAAATGTTCACGCAAAGAAAGAAGGCGTAACTTTTATTCTCACTGGAGTATTGTTGCCGCCGCCATGTCCTGAAGACGCTGTGTGTTTCGTTGTGAAAGCGAAACTCCTTTGTTTGTTCTTCCAAAAGAGGACGATATCCGCTTCGTCATGCCTGGAGCTGATCCGTGCTGGTCGCTGAGGGAATATATCAACTTCATGCTGTGGATCGCCGGATCGGCTTTCACCGTGGACGAAGCACAGTCCAGCCCGGGGTCGTCACATGTGGTTGCCGCAAGCCCGCTGGACGCTCCTTCGTC